TCCATGCTCATGCCGTACACATATTTCTTCAGTACCACCAGAGCCGCCTCCGACAACAGCTTGCACAGCTCCCCGGTACTGGGGTCATGGTAGAGGCGTTCCAGCTCATCCATGAGCAGGTTGTACTGCGGCACCACTGCTGCGGCAGTGGGATACAACGACCCCTGTGCCGCAGTAGTGATGTCATGGAAGGGCTTGAGGAATTCCACCAGAACCCTCAGAGCGTCCCAGTGCGCGTCTGCAAGGCGGACACGCGCAGCCTGTTCGCGCGTCCGCTTGTCACGTGCCGACTGTGGAATGGGGGATTTAGAGTAGCACGCAGTAGCAGAGGGGGAAAGTGGTATTTGGGGAGGGTAGTACGCATGGGCAAACTTGGGAGACTATCAGCATTTCCAAACAGATGAAAAAAATGCACGCGCAGGATGGCCACCCATTGGTTTAGGAACCATACCTCGAGTCCAGAGAAGTACAGCAGGATAGGATCTTTCAGCTTCAGGAAGCGCTCCACCATCTCAAAGGACGACCCCCACCGCGTGGGCGTGTCGCTGATGAGGCGGAGAACGTGGCCGCCCTGACCCGCCAGTCGCAGCTGCTCGTCCTCGAACGCGTCCGAGCGCGTCGTGCTCCACCCAATGAACGACGCAATCTCCCGCATCATGTCATGTCATGTCATGTCATGTCATGTCATGTCATGTCATGTCATGTCATGTCATGGCATGGCATGGCATGGCATGGCATGGCATGGCATGGCATGGCATGGCATGGCATGGCATGGCATGGCATGGCATGGCATGGCATGGCATGGCATGGCATGGCATGGCATGGCATGGCATGGCATGGCATATCATGGCATATCATGGCATATCATGGCATATCACGTCATGGCATGGCATGGCATATCACGTCATGGCATGTCATGGCATGTCATGTCATGGCATGTCATGGCATGTCATGGCATGGCATGTCATGGCATGGCATGTCATGGCATGGCATGTCATGGCATGTCATGGCATGTCATGCCATGTCATGGTATGGCATGCACCACACACCTGAAGAAGAAGCCGGGGTTCAACACTGGTGGGTTGCGGGCGTTCTCGGTCTCTGGGTCGCCAGTCAGGATCCTGAGAGCCTTGATGTTGTTCTCGGCATTGTCCGTCGTGATGCCGAGCACAGAGTCCTTCAGCCCCCAATCCAGTATGACTTTCTCCAATGTCTCGGCAATCAGCACCCCGGTGTGCGATCCCTGAATCTCCTCAAACTCTAGCAGCGCCTGGCGCAGCTGAAAGTCTGTCATGATCCAGTGCGCCGTGACGGCAAGGAAAGCGTCTTGCGCTGGGCTGGACCAAATGTCCGTGGTGAGGGAGACCTTCCCCGCCGCGCCATCGCCGACGATTTCCTGCAGCTGGCGCTCACGCGCGGCGTCGCCCTGCACGAGCATGTCGCGCGCGAGGCGGAAACGGGAGCCGAGCAGTTCTGCACCTGGAGGATTGAGGAGGCGTGTGTAGCGGCGGAACTGGGGAAGAGAGGGCAGGCGTGGGGGAGGGGGGAGTAGGTGGACGTGTGAAGAAGTGCCGCTCCACATGGTTGGGGGGATAATACGTAACGACACGCGGGAGCTTGAAATTGAACAAGCACATGTGCTTAGCAATTTATCTCCGTAAGTTTTTCTTACCGAGGGGCGGTCGACCAAGCGAAATGGAAGGTCCGCATCTGCGAACAGCTCGACAAGAGCGTGGCGCAGACGCTCCTGTGTCACGCGACGACCGAAGAACTGAGGGATCTGCCGTTGTCCCGCCTCAACACCCCCACCCGAAGCGCCCGTGCTCACACCAAGGATGTCAGGATATGTGTCAGCGTGCTCCCACGGATCTGGTCCGCCTGGCACCCCCGGGTACCCCTTCGCCGGAAACTCCAACCCCGGCTTCTTGTTCGGATCAGTGAACAGGCGATACCAGATCTGGAGGTGAGGCATGTGGAACGAGCGCATGTGCTTTCACGCCGAACCAGTGCTGCTCTCACCCCAACCGATCGGCACCTCGCATACCTTGCAGCATCGCGCCCCACCCTCCCCCTCCGGCTGAAAGAACATCCCCTGCATAAGCCCAGGGACAGTACCCCAGAAACCGACAGTCACCTGAGAGCTGTCGCTCGCTCGCGACCGCTTATGCTGTCCACCCATGCCCCCTCCCCCCCCACGTGGGATGACAGGCCGCCCCGGCGCAGGCGTACCACACTCCGCATGATCCCCCTCCCCCACGCCCTCAGCATCCCCAAAGCGCGCTGCATCCCCACCACCGACCTCCAGATCCCCCGCACTATTGGTTCCACTGCCGGCTCCAATCGCCCCTGCCCTCCCCCCAGCAAGTCCACCACGGCCGCGACCTCTTCCCCTCCCTCTCCCCCTTCCCCTGCCCCTCCCCCTCGCCCTCCCCCTCCCCCTCCCCCTCCCCCTTCCCCTCCCCCTCCCCTTGTCCGGTCCATCTCCTGACACCTCATCCTCCTCTTCCTCCGCATTGGGATGCCACTCCTGGTCACCCTGCCCCCCCCCCCCCGTCCACCACCCTGCCCACCGTTCCCCCCCCATGGGGTGCCCCATGCTCCCCCCCTCCTGCATCGCCCGCCTCCACCTCTTCCAGGAAGTCATCGTCCTCTCCTCCCTCATCCGCACGGACACCGCTCGCCAATGCAAAACTCTGGCGGCCGCTAGGGAGAGGGAGGCCTGTCAGAGATGCTCCAGGAATGGCACCGCTCTGGAGCTCGACACCCTCAACCCTCCCGCCCCCGAAAGGGACGGGACGCCCGTCACGGTCGTAGAACTGCATGATGGGACAGTTCCGATCCGAACCCTAAACTATGCGCTCCACCCAAAATTTCGAGTGGTCGAATGGGTCGTGTAACTCTATATCTCCAAAACCCTAACTCCCACGCGCAACCAATTTCTCGCCAACGTTTTGTGTTACCTAAACCCTAAGTAATGTTAGGAGAAAACGAAATAGGATGCGGGGAGTGTCTAGAGTAATGCGGGTGCTGTATTAAGGTGGCGCGTCTATGGTAGGGAGGTGACGAAACTAGATCTGGAAAGTTGGGGACGAATTTCGACCAAATGGTCGAAATTTCCAACCCCCCGCAATTTAGGTCGCGCTGCTGTCGACGGGTAGCAGCGCGACCCGATTTCGGGTCGGGTATACCCGACCCGAATTGGGGTATTTACCCGAACTCGGGTATGTTCTACCCGACCCGGCGGGTACCCGCTACCCGACACGTCGGGTAGAATTTCGGGTAGCGGGTATCGATTACCCGCCCGGGTAACCCGGACCCGACCCGCCGGGTATTTTCCAGGATTTCGGATACCCGACCCGCCCTAAAAGCGGGTACGGGTACCGGGTACCCGACCCGGTCGGGTAGTTTGCTCATCCCTAGGGGAGGGCATGACATAGTGACGCATGATTGTTGTTACACAAGTACCATATCCCATTGGATCCATTGAAATTCATAAATGGCCATTTCATATCGTATTTAGTACGTTTGATCTGATAGCCTCTTATAGCAGCAAATGGCCACACTAGATACAACTGGTCACAAGCGAAGTGTTTAACATGCGCTCTTCACATTCAAATAGCGAATCTCACAAATAGCGCAGATCGAGGAGATTGGCAATGCCTGAGGGTATCGAGCCACCGAGATTGTTCCCAGACAGATCTCTGGAGACCGTCCAAAGGGCAATGGAAGGACGGAAGAGTTAAGGGGTGAGTGAAAGCAAGGAAGTGTTACCGAATCGGGGGCGAGAATGGGTGCAAGGAAACGTTACCCGATTCTTGAAGGTCATGCAAACCATAGTGCCAAGTGAATAGTCATTACAGAGACCTTGGCACAAGAAGTCATTACAGTGACCTAGTCATCTAGGGACAACGACGACGAGGGAAAAAGACACAAGAAGACAAGCTAGGGGGCAATGATGTCAGAAATGGTTTTCTGCATCCAATTTTTTTAATGGTGCACTCACTTGCCAAGCAAGGGTGGTGCACTCACATGCCAAGCAAGGGTGGTGCACTCACATGCCAAGCAAGGGTGGTGGACTCACATGCCAAGCAAGGGTGGTGCACTCACATGCCAAGCAAGGTTTGGTGCACTCACATGCCAAGCAAGGTTTGGTGCACTCACATGCCAAGCAAGGGTGGTGCACTCACATGCCAAGCAAGGGTTGGTGCACTCATATGCCAAGCAAGGGTTGGTGCACTCACATGTCAAGCAAGGGTTGGTGCACTCACATGCCAAGCAAGGGTTGGTGTGCTCACATGCCAAGCAAGGGTTGGTGTGCTCACATGCCAAGCAAGGGTTGGTGCACTGACATGCCAAGCAAGGGTTGGTGCACTCACATGCTGGTGACCATGCCCTGGGCATCGCACTCCACCCATGCAGCAGCGCTACAGTTTCCCCCAGCCACCCACCCATCGAAGGTCTTCCCCCATGCCTGCTGTAAGTCCAGCAGGACTTGCACTGGAGGCGGGGGGGGGGGGGAGTGGGGGGAGAGGGGGGCAGGAGGGTGGATCAGGTGGGAATAGCAGGAGGCGGAGCAGAGAGGGAAAGATGAGCATACCAGCTCCCACCAGCCACCCACCCATGAAATGTCCAGCAGGAGCCCATCAGGAGTTGCACTTGAGGCAGAGCGAGCATCGCAAAAATGCGGAACCCTATTTTGGTAGGGGGTTTTCGAGGTTCCAAACCGTGTGTGTCGCTGCTCGCACAAATAGTAAGGAAAACCCTAGGTAAGGGCATTCGTGCAGAATCGAGTATGCTTTCGGATGCTGTTTCAGTACGAGATATACATGCCTTTTCGTTATGCTTAGAAAATTGCTTTAATGTAATTTTATTTTTGGAGCTAATTCATAAAATCTATGCAAAATCGTGTTGTAAAAATGAAGTATAAACCTTTGCAAGTACTTCTTTGAAATAAGCCATTATTCCATAGGAATGTCTCTTTAATTGGCATGTTATATTTGGACTTCAATTGAGATCAACCAGTAGGTGTGCATTCACTGCGTACCACCACAAGCTTAGTCAAATAAATAATCATTCAACATAAATGTGCCCGGACGAGCAAAAGATTCTACGATATGCACGGCTCGGAAGATAGTGTCGACATCAATGATGTCACGGTACACCCGCTGTGTACCGGGGGCCTTTGCCACTCGCAGTGCTTTGCACCCAGTGAGGGCATCAACACGGATCACATCGTAGTACTGGACATACGCAAACCTTTCATCACTACCAAGGATTTTAAAGAGCAGCAGGATCTCCCCATACCAAACCTCATCACCGGCGCCTTTAATAGCGGCATGCGAGAACCATAGTTGCCCATGGTGGGACGGGTTTGCTCGAACAAAGTGCGTGACTCTAGAGTCTGCTGTACTTGACCCTGCTGGAACTGCCATCCCTGTAAAGACCTGCTTAGAAGTTGACAAGGTGGCAGAGCAGGGTGGGGCAATGGGTGTATGGGATGGGGGGTTGAAGTGTGGATAGCAATGGGAACACGTGGGGTGTTTTGAAGAGGACAACATATTAGCGGACTTGGAATGGGGAGAGCAGGGTGCAGAGCATGACCCAATTTGTAAGGGTGTCCAGAGAAAAAGGGCACAGAGGTCCTTCACAATCCCCAAAGAGAAAAAGGAGACAAGGGAACTCAGATGGGGCAGAGAGGTGTGTGGCAAGCCATGTCGACCGATATTGACAGAGGACAGGGAGAACAAAGGGGTCAGAGATATACCTGGCAAGTCGCAAACCACCAAGGGAGGCTAGGTGGATGATATGGGCCAGAGATATGCATGGCAAGTCGCAAACCACCAAGGGAGGCTAAGTGGGTGATATGGGCAAGAGATATGCATGGCAAGTCGCAAACCACCAGGGGAGGCGAGGTGGGTGATATGGGCCAGAGATATGCATGGCAAGTCTCAAACCACCAAGGGAGGCTAGGTGGGTGAGATGGGCCAGAGATATGCATGGCAAGTCTCAAACTACCAAGGGAGGCTAGGTGGGTGATATGGGCCAGAGATATGCATGGCAAGTCTCAAACCACCAAGGGAGGCTAGATGGGTGATATGGGCCAGAGATATGCATGGCAAGTCTCAAACCACCAAGGGAGGCTAGGTGGGTGATATGGGCCAGAGATATGCATGGCAAGTCTCAAACCACCAAGGGAGCCTAGATGGGTGATATCGGCCAGAGATATGCATGGCAAGTCTCAAACCACCAAGGGAGGCTAGGTGGATGATATGGGCCAGAGATATGCATGGCAAGTCTCCAACCACCAAGGGAGCCTAGATGGGTGATATGGGCCAGAGATATGCATGGCAAGTCTCAAACCACCAAGGGAGCCTAGATGGGTGATATCGGCCAGAGATATGCATGGCAAGTCTCAAACCACCAAGGGAGGCTAGGTGGGTGATATGGGCCAGAGATATGCATGGCAAGTCTCCAACCACCAAGGGAGCCTAGATGGGTGATATGGGCCAGAGATATGCATGGCAAGTCTCAAACCACCAAGGGAGGCTAGGTGGGTGATATGGGCCAGAGATATGCATGGCAAGTCTCAAACCACCAAGGGAGGCTAGGTGGGTGATATGGGCCAGAGATATGCATGGCAAGTCTTAAACCACCAAGGGAGACTAGGTGGGTGATATGGGCCAGAGATATGCATGGCAAGTCTCAAACCACCAAGGGAGCCTAGATGGGTGATATCGGCCAGAGATATGCATGGCAAGTCTCAAACCACCAAGGGAGGCTAGGTGGGTGATATGGGCCAGAGATATGCATTGCAAGTCTCAAACCATCAAGGGAGGCTAGGTGGGTGATATGGGCCAGAGATATGCATGGCAAGTCTCAAACCACCAAGGGAGGCTAGGTGGGTGATATGGCCCAGAGATATGCATGGCAAGTCTCAAACCACCAAGGGAGGCTAGGTGGGTGATATGGGCCAGAGATATGCATGGCATGTCTCAAACCATCAAGGGAGGCTAGATGGGTGATATGGGCCAGAGATATGCATGGCAAGTCTCAAACTACGAAGGGAGGCTAGGTGGGTGATTTGGGCGAGAGAAATGCATGGCAAGTCTCAAACCACCAAGGGAGGCTAGGTGGTGATATGGGCCAGAGATATGCATGGCAAGTCTCAAACCACCAAGGGAGGCTAGGTGGGTGATATGGGCCAGAGATATGCATGGCAAGTCTCAAACCACCAAGGGAGGCTAGGTGGGTGATATGGGCCAGAGATATGCATGGCAAGTCTCAAACCACCAAGGGAGCCTAGATGGGTGATATGGGCCAGAGATATGCATGGCAAGTCTCAAACCACCAAGGGAGGCTAGGTGGGTGATATGGGCCAGAGATATGCATGGCAAGTCTCAAACCACCAAGGGAGGCTAGGTGGGTGATATGGGCCAGAGATATGCATGGCAAGTCTCAAACCACCAAGGGAGGCTAGATGGGTGATATGGGCCAGAGATATGCATGGCAAGTCTCAAACCACCAAGGGAGACTAGGTGGGTGATATGGGCCAGAGATATGCATGGCAAGTCTCAAACCACAAAGGGAGCCTAGATGGGTGATATGGGCCAGAGATATGCATGGCAAGTCTCAAACCACCAAGGGAGGCTAGTGGGTGATATGGGCCAGAGATATGCATGGCAAGTCTCAAACCACCAAGGGAGGCTAGGTGGGTGATATGGGCCAGAGATATGCATGGCAAGTCTCAAACCACCAAGGGAGGCTAGATGGGTGATATGGGCCAGAGATATGCATGGCAAGTCTCAAACACCAAGGGAGGCTAGGTGGGTGATATGGGCCAGAGATATGCATGGAGAGTCTCAAACCACCAAGGGAGGCTAGGTGGGTGATATGGGCCAGAGATATGCATGGCAAGTCTCAAACCACCAAGGGAGCCTAGATGGGTGATATGGGCCAGAGATATGCATGGCAAGTCTCAAACCACCAAGGGAGGCTAGGTGGTGATATGGGCCAGAGATATGCATGGCAAGTCTCAAACCACCAAGGGAGGCTAGGTGGGTGATATGGGCCAGAGATATGCATGGAAGTCTCAACACAGGGAGGGGGGTATGGGCCAGAGATATGCATGGAGAGTCTCAAACCACCAAGGGAGGCTAGGTGGGTGATATGGGCCAGAGATATGCATGGCAAGTCTCCAACCACCAAGGGAGCCTAGATGGGTGATATGGGCCAGAGATATGCATGGCAAGTCTCAAACCACCAAGGGAGGCTAGGTGGGTGATATGGGCCAGAGATATGCATGGCAAGCCTCAAACCACCAAGGGAGGCTAGGTGGGTGATATGGGCCAGAGATATGCATGGCAAGTCTCAAACCACCAAGGGAGGCTAGATGGGTGATATGGGCCAGAGATATGCATGGCAAGTCTTAAACCACCAAGGGAGACTAGGTGGGTGATATGGGCCAGAGATATGCATGGCAAGTCTCAAACCACAAAGGGAGCCTAGATGGGTGATATGGGCCAGAGATATGCATGGCAAGTCTCAAACCACCAAGGGAGCCTAGATGGGTGATATGGGCCAGAGATATGCATGGCAAGTCTCAAACCACCAAGGGAGGCTAGGTGGGTGATATGGGCCAGAGATATGCATGGCAGGTCTCAAACCACCAAGGGAGGCTAGATGGGTGATATGGGCCAGAGATGGGGTTTCTACAGTTAACGGGATGTGGCATAGGAGTTGGGTGGGAGAGTGGACTCACATGAAGGGTTTGCGGGGTCAAATCATAACTCTCAAGATCATCTTGCAAGGTGGTCAATCTCCCACCAAGTGCCATGTTCCAGATCTCAAACTGGTCAGTTTTGCTACGGCGAGCTGTGCTCCCCTGCATGTGGAACACTACGTGCGTGCGGAGGAGGACGCGCTTGCCCTCCGTATCGGCCTGCATGGGGAATGGGGGTTGGTCACTTAATAAGGTTATGCCAATTGGACGATGGCTTCAAGCATTTTGAGAATGTAGAGTCCTACCTCGTAGAACGCTGAGTTGTACTCTCTCTCCTCTTTGATGTCGCTCTCCACCTCTGATAGCATCTGGTGGAACTGGTTGCTCTTGATGATCGACTCCGACCACTCGCGCCGGTTTGATGCCCGGTATGGCCTCTTCACACAGTCCTTGTGAAAGTGCTCGTACATGTTTGTAGAGTACTCCTCTGGAAGCCCACCCCGCTTAATGGCCTCCTCGAAGTGCACCACCATGTGAACCTTGATGAGCTTCCACTTGGACTTTTGCTTGGGAAAAGCGGCCTTTAGCTCCTTTATCATACTGTGAGTGAAAGAAAGGGTGAAAGAACGAGGCAGAGGCGGTATTGGAGCCTTGCAGAGAAGGTTGTGGGATGGTAGTGGGCATAAAGAAGCAGGGCGAAGGAGGGTGCTTGACCGTACATGGCTGCAAAGGGAGGGTGGTTGAAATAGTATATGGGCCAAACGGGAAGGTGAGGGTAGAGAGGGGAGAGGGATGGAATGGTACAGGATAGGGCGGTGTTGGTATAGAGTTGGGCTGCAGCGGCAGGGTGAAGGCATAGTATCGGGCGGAATGATTGCTGGAATATTGTATGGAAGAGAAATAAAGGTGAAGGAATAGGGCATATAAGAGTGGGGATGTAAAAGGCTATGGGCGAGAAGGGTGGGGGATAAGGGTAGAGAAGAGAAGGGGAATCGAATGGTACAGGGCAGACCTAGGAGTGTTATGGTGGTGGTGTTGGTGTTATGGTGATGGTGTTATGGTGAAGGGAGGGTGATGGTGTTGCTGCATGATGGATAGGGGAGGGTATTGAGCATAGACATGCGCGATCGAGGCCAGAGAGGGGTGCATACCTCATCGCCAGGGTATGGCATGTAGCGAGGCTCGCATCCGTGTGATACCGGGGGCGAAACAAGGCCTTGTACCACCTCAAGAAGGCCTGCACGGCGTACTGGCATACTTGAACTCCCACAGGAAACTCTGGTTTAGGATGGATGCACAAAGGAGCGGTTGAACTAGTGCAAACAAGGGTATATCAACAATGTTAGACTCGGTGCAAAATGGTGATTTTGAACTTACAGGTGTGGGAAACGACGACCAAAGTTTAGCGTAGTCGCCAGCCACGGTCTTGCCAGTTTCTAACAACCTGTTGAATTTGTCAACCACAAATCTCTGCTCACGAACAGTCCTAGGCGCAAACGTGTTGACCAGGTCATCCATCTCATCTTTCTCTACATAGCACATGGAGCAAGGTCGGTTGCTGTTATGCTGGAATGTGCACGAGACTTTGCTGCTCTCTGGGTAATCACATGCATAACAGTAGAGAAGTGGCCATACTGTACGCAGAGTGCCGGATGGGTCAGTCCAGGCACAACCTGTAGAGCTGTTGGAAACGAGCATAACAGAGTGGCACAAAGGTCAGTGTGTATAGGGCGTGAATATGTAGCATAATAAATAGGGCGCTCTGAGGGTGGACATCAGAGTATGTCTTTACAACGCACCTGTTGCTCGCATCTATTAGAGGTTGCAAGACTATCTTCATGCAATCCTGGAACAGCTGTGTTTTCACAGAGCTGGGCCACTTTGGATTTCCCATCGGCAGCATAGCCACCATCTGTTTGGCACTGCGCTTCCACCTATGCTCAACAGTAATGTTCCCAAGCGAGATGACGACAGGCCATACTTTCTGTGAATCGTTCTTTGACAGTTGGGTGACATCTGAATAGACTATGAGTGCGGCAATGACCTCATCGTTGTACCCAAGCTCTTCCTGCAAGTGGTAAAAGCGTAGGGTAGGGAGTATTGGTCTGCAAAATGCACGAGGCCACACCATGCACATGCCGCAGAGGGGAAGGTGCTTGCACCATGCCGCATCGCAGAGGGGACGGTGCTTGCACCATGCAGCAGAGGGGACGGTGCTTGCACCATGCCGCATCGCAGAGGGGACGGTGCTTGCACCATGCAGCAGAGGGGACGGTGCTTGCACCACGCCAGCATGATAGGTGGTTGTGGATGATAGGCGTGCATACCTGTGCCTTTTGCCACCACGTGCAGTGTTGAGGGCGGGTGTAGATCCGCTCCCCTCTCTGGTTCTTCTTGACTGTTGGGAACAGAGCGAAACCAGTGTGGTTCTGTCGGTCTTCAAAAATTGCCTTCGCGATCTGCAAAGGCACATCAAAGAACGGCAAAAGAAGGGGACAGAGTTGTATGTTGGCCTGGACAATAGGGGGAATACGGTCAAGAGGGACAAAAAAACACCCGCAGCAATGAAATGTGCCTTACCTTGACTGTATCCACGTGTTTCAAAGAAACATACACAGGCTGGCCGTTCTCCAAAACGTCTGGCACTTTCACCAGGGTAGTTTTCCAAGGTGCAGCCTTGGAACCCCAGTTGTCAGCTGCCCATTTCTGGGCGTCCTTGATGCTGCGCCAGCCTGCTAAGTCGGCCGGTTTGAAATCGGGATGTAGAATAACTTGGAGGAAACGCTTGCTCTCCTCGACAGTCATACCCTGCCCCTCTCTAAAACTTTGCATGAGCAATAGTACTTCTTTCCGCGTGTTGAAGTCCAGGGAGTCAAGCGGGTTTGGTCCAAACACTGTGTCATCATGGCACGGTTGCGAATGCTGTCCAGCGTCGCTGCCAGAGACAGGACTCTGAACAGGACTCGCTGGTCGGGGGCGTGCGGACCCGCCATGCCCTTGATCACTCGGGGGCGAGGCGGTCACGACCCGTCTACGCTTGCAACGCCCAAGCGGCGTTGGGTCACGCACTATCTCACCATGCTCGTCAAGATGGTACGGACCCTGTGTGTAACCTTCCTCTTGAAACCTACATCGCTCAATGCGACATTGCAAGCTTCGCTCATGCGTCGCCAATGCACGGTACCCCCGAAAAAACTAAGGCGCACCATGAGCAGACTATGCACGTCAGCATAAGACCAATGGTGAGCTGGATAAAAATTTTCATCGTAGTGGAGTTCTACCTCTCGGAAGGTGCTAGCTAATGGGACATATTTCCCAAACGGGAAGGCCAGGAAAGCAGTTAGCGTGAATGGATCCATTCTTGTGCAATGATGCTAGCTATGTAGGCAACGAGGTATTGCTCGCCTATACCTAATCCTCCTGTTTGCGCGGTCCAAGTTAGGAGTAGGGAAGAGACCAAGGTGCAGATTGGGGGTTTGGCAAGTTTGAGAACTCGAAGTTCGAACTTCGAGTTTCAAACTTCGTTTGGCTGGTGGGAGCAGGAAGAGTGGTGGCGAGGAGTTCTACATGGTTTCAACAAAATCAAATTCCAAACATGTTTACAAAAAAGGTAAAAGTAGTGGTCACGTCATGCGCATATACCATCAACCACAATTCGTATCTGTGGTTTAATTTCGGGGTGGTTCCAGTACCACCATGCCCCCCAGAGTTTGAGAAAGGGCCATGTTGCGTGAATTAGGGGATAGAGCTTTCGAAATGATTCAAAAACTCGAAATTTGCTAATGTACCTAGGTAAATCTTTTGTAGACCTGTTTCTTAATTCCCTCTCGTGCGTATTACTTCCCCCCACCATCTCTCCAGATAACAGCATCATCAGAGAACCAAACACTGCGCTGCATCATTTTGCGTGCCTCGGTGTGTCATTCCAGGACCGCGCCACCAGATTATAAATTATGTCGTTTCTGTCAAACATGTGTATTTGTCATGTTTGTATAGACTGTATAGAGTCACCTCTTAGAGGATACAAAACTTAGATATATTTGTGTGTACTCTCACTTTACCATTATTCAATTATTCTGATATGGTATCACGCGTAGGTAGGATCCCCCCCCCCCACCTACCGCTTCCGCTCATGCCCCCTAGCGCCCCTCCCAGGCCCCGTCGCGCTCCTCCCAGGCCCCCTAGCGCCCCTCCTGGGCCCCATCGCGCTCCTCCCAGGCCCCGTAGCGACCCTCCTGGGCTTCGTAGCGCCCCTGCCAGGCCCCGTCGCGCCCCTTCTGGGCTTCGTAGCGCCCCTGCCAGGCCCCGTCGCGCCCCTCCCAGGCCCCGTCGCGCTCCTCCCAGGCCCACTAGCGCCCCTCCTGGGCCCCGTCGCGCTCCTCCCAGGTCCCGTAGCGCCCCGTCGCGCCCCTCCTGGGCCCCGTAGCGCCCCTCCTGGGCCTCGTCGCGCCCCTCCTGGGCTTCGTAGCGCCCCTCCTGGGCCCTGTACCGCCCTCCCAGGCCCCGTCGCGCCCCTCCCAGTCCCTCTAGCGCCCCTCCTGGGCCCCGTCGCGCTCCTCCCAGGCCCCGTAGCGCCCCGTCGCGCCCCTCCTGGGCCCCGTAGCGCCCCTCCTGGGCCTCGTCGCGCCCCTCCTGGGCTTCGTAGCGCCCCTCCTGGGCCCTGTAACGCCCTCCCAGGCCCCGTCGCGCCCCTCCCAGGCCCCGTCGCGCTCCTCCCAGGCCCCCTAGCGCCCCTCCTGGGCCCCGTCGCGCTCCTCCCAGGCCTCGTAGCGCCCCTCCTGGGCTCTTTCGCGCCCCTCCTGGGCTCCGTAGCGCCCCTCCTGGGCCCCGTCGCGCCCCTCCTGGGCCCCGTAGCGCCCCTCCTGGGCCCCGTCGCGCCCTCCTTGGGCCCTGTAGCGCCCCTCCTGGGCCCCGTCGCGCCCCTCCCAGGCCCCGTCGCGCCCCTCCCAGGCCCCGTAGCGCCCCTCCTGGGCCTCGTCGCGCCCCTCCTGGGCTTCGTAGCGCCTCTCTTGGGCCCCCCGTCGTGCCCCTCCTGGGCCCCGTAGCGCCCCTCCTCGGCCGCGTCGTACCCGTCGCCGCCGCCCGGCCCCGTCGTGCCCGCCCGGCGCCGTCGCGCCCGCCCGACCCCGTCGCCGCCGCCCGGCCCCGTCGCGCCCACCCGGCGCCATCGCCGCCGCCCGGCCCCGTCGCGCCCGCCCGGCGCCGTCGCACCCTGCCCGGCCCGTCGCGCTCGCCCGGCCCCGTCGCAGCCGCCCGGCCCCGTCGCACCCGCCCGGCCCCGTCGCACCCTGCCCGGCCCCGTCACAGCCGCCCGGCCCCGTCGCACCAGCCCGGCCGCCGTCCCGCTCGCCCGGCCCTGCCGCACTCGCCCGGCCCCGTCGCCCCAGCCCGGCCCCGTCGCGCCCGCTCGACCCCGTCGCATCAGCCCGGCCCCGTCGCGCCGCCCGGCCCCGTCGGGCCAGCCCCGGCCCCGTCCTCCTCACTGGTACGGTCCCCCCCGCCCCCCCCCCCCCCCCACCCCGCCCTGCTCCGTGCCGCCCTGCACCGCACTGCACCGCACTGCACCGCACTGTACCGCACTGCACCGCACTGCACCGCACTGCACCGCACTGCACCGCACTGTACCGCACAGTACCGCACTGCACCGCACTGCACCGCACTGTATCGCACTGCACCGCACCCCACCTAGCTGCACCGCCCTGCACAGCACTGGACTGTTCCTGATGGCGGCGGAGCTTCGCTTCGACGCTGAAGGTCAGCCCCTAGAGTTCGAGGCGTGGCTTGCCGACCTCCGCCGCCAACTCACTGGCCAACGGCAGGATGGTGAACCGCTTTCCGCACACCTTGACGGTACGCTCCCCTGCCCAGACCCTCCTGCTATTCTGCCCGCTGACCCCACACCCACTGAGCGTGAGTCTACTGCTGCCACTGCCCGTGCGCGCTCAGTCTGGCTTTCTCGCGATGCTGTCGCCCAGCTTGCCATTAGCAACGCCCTCCCCCCGTCCGAGCGTCCTCGCTTTAGGTCCCTCACTACTGCTCAGGCATACTTAGATGCTGTCATCAAGCGCTATTCCACCCCTCCGGCTGCCTCGGTGGGTCGCCTGATCCTCCCGCTGCTCTTTCCTGACCTTGCTTCGTTCCCCACTGTCTCTGACCTCGCTGCCCACCTGCGCTCGATAGAGGAGACCTGGCGCGCCGCATGCACTGACGCACAGCTTAGAGCCCACCAGCCGCCCATTACCTCTACCCTCTACCTGCTTGCCACCCGCCTCCCTGACCGCCTTGCTGTCGCCCGCGACCGCTTCCTTAGTGTTCACCCTCACTGACTTTGTCGACACCCTGACTGTGATAGAGACCCGTCACCGCTCCATCGCCCAGGCGAGCGGTGTCGTGGCGGTCCCTATCTTTTAGGGTTGTGCCCCCGCTCAGTGTACCTTCTCCAACGGCTCTGCCGCAGTGGCTGAGACTGCTGCTGCAGCGCAGGCCCGTTCTGGGAAGGGCCGCCGCCCCAAGGCTGGGCGCGGCGGAGGGGGCGGCGGGGGTGCGGGCGGGGGTAGTGGTGGGGTCGGGTCGCCTGGTGCTGGAGCGGACGAGGGGACCCTGCCCAGTCCAGCTGAGTCGCCGCCCCTGCAGTTGCAGCAGCCGCAGCAGCCGCCGCAGTCGCAGCCTTCGCAGCAGCCGTCGCAGACGCGGCAGACGAGTGTTCTCCCGCCAGGGTGGCCCGGCGCTGGCGGTGGACGGGCGCGTGGTGGTGTGCCGCGTGGTGGCTCTGCCGGCGGGCGTTGTCAGTACCAGATCCAGACCGGTCCTCGCCGCGGTTTCGTTTGCGGTAAGATCGGTCACTCCACTCCCCGCTGCTTTCGTCGCCTGGACGACCTCTTTCGTCAGCGTTTCGGCCCGTCGCCAGACCTTCCGGACTGGCACAGTTTGCTTAGTCGTCAGATTCAGATCTTTGATATGGACATGGATGCCATTGTTTCTGCTCTGCATGTGATGTATGCTGATGACTCTAGTGTGCTTCCGACTTATTACTCACTGTTGCCTAGTGTAGGTGTGCCTAGCTTAGCCTCCCCTGCTGCGTCAGGCGTAGGATCCCCTGCTTTGTGTAGTCTTGGTGCTTCTGCCGTCGTTCCGTCGCCAGACCCCTCGGCTTCGCTTTCCTTCACCTTGGACTCTGGCGCCTCTCGGTGTTTCTTCCGCGACTCCACCACCCTGACGCCGCTTCCTGTTCCTGCTGCCGTTTCTCTTGCTGACCCCTCCGGCGGCCCGGTAGTCGCCCGCAGTTCCACCACCCTTCCCTGTCCGGCGGTTCCTTCGGGCTCTCTTACAGGTCTGCATATCCCCTCGGTCTCCAGGAACCTAGTTGGTGTCGGCTGCCTCCAGGACCTTGGCGTCACCACTACGTTCCCTGGTCACGAGCGGTATGCTGTCTGTACCGAGGCCGCCACTGGTGCCCCCCTGTCCACGTTCCCCCGGGACCCGGTGTCCGGCCTGTTCACTCTGGACACCGTGCCCCCCCCGGCTGGAGCGCCCCCTCAGGTGGCTGTGTCTACCCAGGTTGCTGCTGCCTGCTCCTGTCGGTCCCTCACTCACCCGACCCTCCTTGGCACCACCGCCTAGGTCACCCTGCGCTCCCGCGTCTGCGTCACATGTCCCAGCACGGTCTTGTCCTTGGTCTCCCAGGTTCACTCCCCGCGTTTCCCTCCTCCCCAGCTCCACCTTGCACGCCTTGTGTCGAGGGTCGGCTTCGCCGTGCCCCTCACTCCTCCTCGTTCCCCCCTACCGCCGCGCCGCTGCAGACCCTGCACCTGGACGTCTGGGGCCCCGCCCCCGTCCCTGGGCCGCGTCGCGAGCGCTACTTCCTTGTGCTTGTCGACGACTTCACTCGTTACACCACAGTCTTTCCCCTGGAGCGCAAGGCCGACGTGCCTGTCGCCCTCATCCCCTGGCTTGTCTCTGCGCGTGTCCACCGCGGTCTCCCTGTCTTGCGTCTTCACTCAGACCGTGGTGGCGAGTTTGCCTCAGGTGTCCTTGGTCGCTTTTGTCGTGCGGAGGGCATCACCCAGACGTTCACCCTACCGGACTCCCCACAGCAGAATGGGGTCGCTGAGCGACGCATCGGCTTGGTCATGGAGGTCGCTCGCACCTCCATGGTCCATGCCGGTGCACCCCATTTTCTGTGGCCGTTCGCTGTGCGCTACGCTTCTCACCAGCTTAACCTGTGGCCGCACCCTCATCAGCCGCAGGTTTCGCCGACCCGTCTGTGGACTGGGTCTCCTGGTGACGCGTCTGCGTTCCACGTCTGGGGCTGCCTTGCTCACGTCTGTGCCTCCGGCACGGACAAGCTCACTGTCCGCACCCTTCCCTGCGTCTTCCTCGGTTTTCCCCTTGACGCGTCCGACTGGCACTTTTACCACCCGCCGTCTCACCGCTTCTTTCACTCTCGTGACGTCACCTTTGACGAGTCCGT